GAAACAACCAAACAAAATCAAAAGAATGAAAAAAATAGAAAAAAATGTGAAATATCTCGTTGGAAAAACAACTGACTTGGAGAATAGATCCAGGAGAGATAATTGAAGAATTATTGGACTACTTGAAAGCTATGATTCAAAAAAAGAACCTAGGCATCATCTGTCAAGAAATTTTGAAGGAAAGCTGCCCTAACATCCTAGAACCAGAATAAAATAGAAATTGAAAGAATCCACTGATCACCTCTTGAAAGAGATTCCAAAATGAGAACTCATAGGAATATTATAGTCAAATTCCAGAGCTTCAAGATCAAGGAGAAAATACTGCAAGCAGCCAGAAAGACACAACACAAATATCATGGAGCCACAGTCAGGCTAACAGAAGATTTAGCAGCTTCTACATTAAAGGATCAGAAGGGCTTGGAATATGATATTCCAGAGGGCAAAGGAGCTAGGATTACAACTAAGAATCACCTACCCAGCAAAACTGAGTATAACCCTTCAGCGGAAAGAATGGATATTGAATTAAATAGAGGAATTTCAAGCTTTCCTTCTGAAAAGACCAGTGCTGATTAGAAAATTTGACTTTCAAATACAAGATTCAAGAAGAGAAGCATAAAAAGGTAAACAGGAAAGGGAAATCATAAGGGATTCAATAAAGTTAAAATGTTTATATCCTACATGGGAAGATGATACTTGTAACTTCTAAAACCTTTTTTTTTTATTAGGGCAGTTAGGAGTGTGAGTTGACTATGATGGGATGACATTCAAAAAAATAAATTAAGGGGTTAGAAAAAAGGATGCACTGGGACAAGAGGGAAGGGAGAGGCAGAATGGGGTAAATGAACATAAAAGAGATGTGAAAGAGCTTTTACAGTGCAGAGGAAGATGGAGAGTGGCTGACAACACTTGAACCTTACTCTCATCAGAACTGTCTCAAATTTGGAATAATATATATACTCAGTTGGGTATAGAAATCTATCTTACCCTACAGAGAAGCAGGGGGAGGGGGATAAGAGAAGATGGGGCTGATAGAAGTAAGGGCAGAGTGGGGGTGGCGGTGGTCAGAGCCAAGACACTTTTGAGGAGGGACAGTGGGAAAGGAAAGAGAAGGATAAACAAGGAGGAAAAGTAGGATGGAGGGAAATATACAGTAATCATAACTGTGAATGTAAATAGGATGGACTCACCCATAAAATGGAAACAGCAGAGTGGATTAAAAACCAGAATCCTACAAAATGTTGTTTACAAGAAAAACACTTGAAGCAGAGAGACACATAGAGTAAAGTTTTAAAGGGCTAGAGGAGAATCTATTATTCTTTAGCTAAAGTTAAAAAAAAAAGCAGGGGTAGCAATCATTATCTCAGACAAAGCAAAAGCAAAGAGAGATCTAATTAAAAGAGGCAAGCAGGGACACTACCTTTTGCTAAAAGGTACCACAGACAATGAAATAATATCAATACTAAACATATATGCACCAAATGATATAGTATCCAAATTCTTAAAGGAAAAATTAGATGAGTTATAGGAGGAAATAAATAGTAAAACCATACTAGGGGAGGACCCTAATCCCCCTTTCAGAACTTTCAAAAAATAAATAAAAGAAGTTAAGGAAATGAACAGAATTTTAGTAAAGTTAGATATCATAGACCTCCGAAGAAAACTGAATGGGAATAGAAAAGAATATACCTTTTTCTCAGCAGTTCATGGCACTCACACAAAAACTTACCATTTATTAGGGCATGAAAACCTCACAACCAAATGCAGAAAAGCAGAAATAATGAATGCATCCTTTTCTGATCACAATGCAATAAAATTACATTCACCAAAGAACCATGGAAAGACTAAAAATGAATTAGAAACTAAATAATCTAATCTTAAAGAATGAGTGGGTCAAAGAACAAATCATAGAAACAAATAATAATTTCATTAAAGAGAATGACAACAATGAGACAACATACCAAAATTTATGAGATGCAGCCAAAGCAGTACTTAGGAGGAAATTTTATATCTCTAAATGCTTACATCAACAAATAGAAAAAGAACAGATCAATGAATTGGTCATATGACTAAAAAACCAGAAAAGGAACAAATTAAAAATCACCAGTTAAACACCAAATTGGAAATCCTGAAAATCAAAAGAGAGAGTAATAAAATTGAAAGTAAGAAAACTGTTGAACTAATAAATAAAATTAGGAGCTGGTTTTATGAAAACAAAAACAACAACAACAATAAAACATTGGTTAATTTGACTTAAAAAAGAGAAAGAAAACCAAATTACTAGTATCAAAAATGAAAAGGGTGAATTCACCACCAATGAAGAGCAAATGAAAGCAATTATTAGGAGCTTTTTTATATACCAATAAATCTAACAATCTAAGTGAAATGGATGAATACTTACAAAAATATAAATTGTCCAGATTAACAGAAGAAAAAGTAGAATACTTAAATAATCCTATCTTAGAAAAAGAAATTGAACAAGTCATCAATGAACTCCCAAAGAAAAAATTCCCAGCAACAGATTCACAAGTGAATTCCACCAAACATTTAAAGAACAATTAATTCCAATACTATATAAAATATTTGGAAAAATAGGCAAAGAAGGAGACCTTTTGAAAATTCCTTTTATGGCACAGCTATAGTGCTGATATCTAAACCAGGAAGAGTGAAAACAATGAAAAAAATATATAGACCAATTTCCCTAATGGATATTGATGTAAAATTTTAAATAAAATGCTAGCAAGCAGATTACAACAATTTATCACAAAGATAATACACTATAACCAGATGGGATTTATAGCAGGGGTGCAGGACTGGTTCAATATTAAGAAAACTATCAGCATAATTGACTATGTCAATGACAAAACTAACAGAAATTTTATTATCTCAATAGATGCAGAAAATCTTTTGATAAAACATAACACTCATTCCTATTGAGAATAATAGAAAGCATAGGAATAAATGGAGCTTTCCTTAAAATAATAAGTAGTATCTATCTAAAATCATCAGCAAGCATGATCTGTAATGGAGATAAGCTAGAAGACTTCCCAGTAAGGTCAGAGGTGAAGCAAGGATGTCCATTATTACCACTATTATCCAATATTGTACTAGAACCGCTAGCTATACAGGAGAAGAAGAAAAAATTGACAGAATTAGAACAGTCAATGAGGAAACAAAACTATCACTCTTTGCAGATGACATGATAGTATACTTAGACAATCAAAATTAACTAAAAATTAATTGAAATAATTAACAACTTTAGCAGAATCACAGGATATAAAACAAACCCACATAAATCATCAGCATTTCTATATATTATCAACAAAGTCCAGCAGCAAGAGATAGAGAAATTCCCTTTAATATAATGGTAGACAATATAAAATATCTGGAAGTCTACCTGCCAAGACAAATCCAGGAACCATATGAATATAATTACAAAACACTTTTCACAGAAATAAAGTCAGATCTAAACAACCAGAAAAAAATATCAATTGTTCAAGGGTAGGCTGAGCCAATATAATAAAAATGTCATACCTAAATTGATTTAATTACTCAGTGACATACTAATCCAAGTACCAAAAATTATTTTATAGAGTTAGAAAAAAATAATAAAATTCACCTGGAAGAACAAAAGATTAAGAGTATCAAGGGAATTAATGAAGAAAAAATGTGAAGCAAGGTGGCCTAGCCATACCAGATCTCAAACTGTATTATAAAGCAATAATCATCAAAACATTCTGGTACTGGCTAAGAAACAGAGTGGTGGATCAATGGACTAGATTAAGTACACAAGACAGCAGTAAATGACTGTGATAATCTAGTGTTTGATAAACCCAAAGATTTTGGGGGGACAACTCATTATTTGAGAAAAACTTCTTGGAAAACCAGAAAACGGTTTGGCAGAAACCAGGTATAGACTAATATCTCACACTGTATACCAAGATAAGGTCAAAATGGGTACATGATTTAGACATAAAGGGTGATACCATAAGCAAATTAAGGGAACATAGAATAGTTTACCTGTCAGATCTATGGATAAGAGAAGAATTTATGACCAAATAAGAGTTACAGAACATTATGAAATGTAAAATGAATAATTTTAATTAAAGTAAAAAAGATTTTGCATAAACAAAACCAATGCAATCAAGATTAGAAGGAAAGCAGAAGGCTGGGGAAAAAATTTTACAGCCAGTTTCTCTGATAAAGACCCCATTTTTCAAATATATAGAGAACAGAGTCAAATTTATAAGAAGTAATTCCCCAATTGATAAATGGTCAAAGGATACGAACAGGCAGTTTTCAGATGAAGTAATTGAAGCTATCTATAGTCATAAGGAAAAAAGCTCTAAATCACTATGGACTAGAGAAATACCAATCAAAACAATTCTGAGGTACCACCTCACACTTGTTGGATTGGCTAATATGACAGAAAAGGAAAATGATAAATGTTGGAGATGTGGGAAAATTGGGATACTAATGCACTGTTGATAGAGTTGTGAACTAAACCAACCATCCTAGAGAACAATTTGGAACTATACTCAAACTGCTTTAAACCATGCATATTCTTTTGACCTAGCAATATCACTACTAGGTCTGTATCCCAAAGAGATTTTTAAAAAACATGGGGGGAAGGACCTACACATACAAAAATATAACAGCTCTTTTTGTGGTGGCAAAGAACTGGAAATTAAGGGAATGTCCATCAACTAGGGAACAGTTTAATAAGTTGTGGTAGATGATTGTAATGGAATACTATTGTGCTATAAGAAATGATGAGCAGAATACATTCAGAAAAACCTGGAAAGACTTAAAGGAACTAATACAAAATGTAGTGAGCAGAAACAGAACATTGTACATAGTAACAGCAATACCGTACCAAGATCAACTGTGAATGACTTAGCAATTCTTAGCAATACAATGATCCAGGACAATTCCAAAGGACTCATGATGACTCAAAGAACTCATGCTATCTATCTCCAAAGAAAGAAGTGGTGGAGTCTGAATGCAGATCAAAGCATACTATTTTTCACTTTATTTTCATGGAGAGTTGTACGTGTGTGTTTACACGCTTGTGTGTTTTCTTTTACAATAAGACTAATATGGAAATGTTTTACATGATTACACATGTACCAACATCAAATTTTTTTGCCATCTCAAGAATAGGGGAAGATGGGGAGAGGGAGAGAATTTGGAACTAAATAAAAGTTTCAAATGAATGTTAAAAATTGTTTTTAAAAGCAAATGGAAAAAATAAAATATTATTTTAAAACAGGATTCAAAGAAATGTTGTAATTGCATGAACTTGATGTGAAGAAAAGAATGCAGAACCAAGAATACACACACACATTTTTTGTGAGGTCACTGACCATAACAAAGGAAAACAACAGTAAAGCACCTCAGAAGTCAGACTGATATAATGACCAATCTTGATTCCAGAAGACTTCTGATAAAACTTAGTGGCATTCTCTTGGTATAAAAGAAGTAGACTATGGGTGTGGAATGTGCCAATGATATATTGGTTTGTTTTACTTAGTTAAAAGGTAAATGGGTAGAAGTATATCAGTAACAATAATGAAAAAGTATCAATAAACCATCAAAAAATTATATATAACTTTCTACACCCATATTCTACTCAGAATTCCCATTCAACAAATCTCAGTGATGCCTTTGAGCTTATTTGCCTTGTTGAGATGGAATCTTTAGTTTACTCTATTTATTATTGGTATATAGACAACTGACACAATGTTGGTTCTCTTCTTGGTTATTTTCTTCTATAAATTACTAGTCCTTTTTTCTGTTGTTTGTCTAATATTAAACCTAATATTCTTTGTAGTACCAGCCTTGGAAGAGCTATGTAGGAAATTTTCTTCCTCTTTTTCCCTTCAGTTTAAAACTAACTGTCTGGGTTGGATTTAAAATCAATTAAAAAAAATAAACAAAAACTTTATAGGCAAACAGTCTTTTACTGACCTTTACTAGATATGCTTTATTCCTAGCTAAGAGCTAATCATGTCTATATTTTAAGATGTTATCCAGAACTTCAAATCCTATTTTCTGACTTTCTCTTATGGATCTCCTACCTTCAATCATCAAAAGTGATAAAAATACATGTCCCTAGAGTTTTCTGTGTTTCCCCAGGACTCCAAAACATTTAGCATCAGTTTCTAGGTTCCATATGGCTATACCATTTGTCCCTACATTAATCATTATCAATGTGCAATTGTCACTAGGTTTATCAAGTCTGTTAGTTTCTAGACACACGACCTGGTAAGACAACACACATCTATTAGCCAACAAATTGCTGCCTTGCTATTTGTGAGCTAGAAGTCATTAATTACTATTAATAGTCATCACAAAATCAGAGTTGGAAGGGATCTTAGAAATTGAACTCATACGCAAAAGGAATTTCCACTGTATCATACCTAACAAATAAGCATCCAGTCTGCTCAAAGACCTCCAAGGCAAGGTAAGTCTACTCCCTTACAAGGCACCTATTCCACTTTTGTGTAACTCTTATTAAGACGTCTTTTTTTTTCTCCTGACATCAAGCCTAAATTGGCCTTTCAGTTTCCACCCATTCCTAGTTCTGCTCTCTAAGGCCAAAAAGAGTAAGTCTAATTCTAAGGGCTAAAAAGCCCTTCAAACACTCAATAACATCTATTATGTCTTCTCCTAGGTCTTCAACTTTCCAGGATACACTTCCCTGGTTCCTTCAACTGAGTATTAAGCTTTTGTAACATGGACTCAAGGCCTTTCACCATCCTGTTTACCCAGCTCTGGATATTCTTCAGCTTGTCCTATTTCCAACTTCTGTGGGAGAAGGATCAGAAGAGAGAACTTAAAAATAGGTGACTTGGAGGGACTACTAAAGTAGGTCAGGGGTTGAATTTAGGGAGCAGAAATTTGGGAAAATTTGGAGAACAATTTCCAGGCCCAGTTACTTGTTCAGATTCTAGTTCTGGATTGAAACTGCAGTATCAAGGACAATTAAGGAGGATATTAAAGAACTAAGGATGATTGAAGAGGATCAAGAAGCTGAAGAAGGTCAAGAAAGATAAGGTAGTTGGCAAAGACAAGGTAAGTAAGAATAGATAAGTGGAACAATTAGAAAGTAAAGAAAACTGATGAGTGGATGGATGGTGGCACAAATTAATGAAACAAAAATTGGTATAAGGGTAAAGGGAAAGTGAATGGGGCTATGTTGTAGAGACTAAGAAAATTGAGGGAGGTTAAGTTATTAATTCACTGTAATACTTTTAACTAGGTTCTTATGCATGAAGGTGATGCAAAAACAAAACAAAAAAAAGCATTTCTTTTAAAAATAAAGCAAATTTTTGGCCACAGGAAGGAAATAATGTTGGAGGACAAACTTAATCAACTTCTCATGCTGATCATACTTTTCCATTCAGCTCATTAATTTTTTTCCTAAAGTCAAAAGGATTTGAGGTGACTTCCACACTAGTACTACCCCAGGACCTTTAGACTGAGGCAACCAGGACACAGGATAGGAAGCACTTCATTCCCATCTAGGACAAAGCCTTCTTGTGCTGATTTCCTTGGACCATGGGCTTTGATTTCGAGTTTCTGCCACATGTGCCATAGGTCCAAAACAGTAAATTCAATTTGTTCCACTTACCAACCCCAAACCCTTAATCTCTCTCCAGGTCCTTTCCCTTGTATTGATTTAGTTCTCCTCTCCAAAATTAGGGAAAATTACAGCAATGCAGGTTATGGAGGATAATCCACAAGTATCACAATAAAACAAGCCCTTCCAAAGTGAAAATAAACAAGAATATAATAAAAAATTTGACCTGGGATTCAGGTACCATCAGATTTCTTTCCAGGACTTCAGATATTTGTTAGTGGAGGGATGGTAGTGGTGATGGTATGTAAGACATTAGTATTGTTTCCAAAAATATTTTTCCTATATACTTAGTATGGTCACCCTCATGGCTTCTAGATTCCCTGGATTCTTTAGATTTGGGGGTGGGGAAGAAAAGAATTTAAAGGACTGAGTTTTTAGTTGCTTAGCCCAACTATAACTGTTCTTTGAAAAGTAAACGATGATTGAATTGGACTGTTAACTTTCTATTTATTTGTAGGGTTTCCTTTAATACACATTTCCTGAGAAAGCAGGGCTTTCGATGTTATCATCATCAATGAATCAACAAATATTTATTAAATGATAAATACTCACTGCCTGGACAATGTGCTGTATAAATAAAGTCACAAGTATATAAAGTTCAGCCTCAAAAAACTTATAATCTTTTGTGGATCTCCTTCATTGATTGTAAAAATATTCAACAAAATAACAAATTCAAACCCACAAGCATTTATTAAGCACCTGCTATGTCCCAGGCACTGTGTTAGATGGCAGGTACAGAGACCAAAAACTAATAGTCCCTGCTCCAAAGGAGCTTGAGATCTACTGAGGATTCTAAGGCTTCCCTACATTTATAACTTTCTGAGGTCTATTCCCCTGTATGGAGTCTCTGATGCCTAAGGAGAGAGGAGCTACACTTGAAAGTTTTCACACATTCATTACATCTATATGGTTTCTCTCCAGTATGAGTTTTCTGATGCTGAATAAGGGCTGATGAATGAATGAAGGCTTTGCCACATTCATTACATTCATAGGGTTTCTTTCCACTATGAATTCTCTGATGTTTAGCAAAGTTTGAACTTCTGCTGAAGGTTTTCCCACATTCATTGCATTCATATGGTTTCTCTCCAGTATGAATTCTCTGATGTTGAACAAGGTGTGTACTCTGACTAAAGGTTTTCCCACATTCATTACATTCATAGGGTTTCTCCCCAGTATGAACCCTCTGATGTTTAGTAAGGGATGAACAGTGACTGAATGCTTTCCCACATTCATTACACGTATAGGGTTTCTCTCCAGTATGAGTTCTCTGATGCTTAATGAGAGCTGAGGAGTGAATGAAGGCTTTGTCACATTCATTACATTGATAGGGCTTCTCTCCTGTATGAATCATCTTATGCTGAATAAGGTGTGAAGTCCGACTGAAAGCCTTCCCACATTCATTACATTCATAAGGTCTCTCTCCAATATGTGTTTTCTGATGTTCAGAAAAAGCTGAACTCTCAGTAAAGGTTTTCCCACATGCATTGCACGTATAGAGTCTTGCCCTAGTGTGAGTTTTCAAATGTTTTTTGAGGTTAGCTTTGTGGCTGAAGGCTTTCCCACAATTATTGCATGTATATGGTTTCTCTCCAGTATGAATTCTTTGATGTCGAATAAGCACTGAATGGTAACTGAAGGATTCTCCACATTCGTTACACTTACAAGGCTTTTTCTCCTTGTAGATTCTCTTATTTTTCATTAGGTTTGAGTTTTGTTTGAAGGTCTTTCTTTCAAAGTTACCCAATTTCTCTCCTGTAGGAATTTTATCTTGATTAACAATAACTGACCTCTGATTAAAACTTTTCCAGTATGTATCACATTCAAAGTCTCTCTCCTTAGTAGGGTTTTTCCTGTGGGCAACTTTCACTTGCCTCAAATGTCTCTCATTTTCCTGTTGTCTCTCTAACCAGTCCTCACATTCTTCCAAGTTGGACATATCATCCTCTGTAACTCTTCCTACCATCATCCCTTGTGATGATTCCTCTTCAGAGATTTCCTGTACTGAGGTTGACTCTCTGCTCTCAGACCTAGTATCCCAGTCTGAAAGAAAGTGAAAATACAAAGGTCATTAAAAAAAGAAACTAATAAATGAGACAACAAAGCTAAAAATAAAACCTATGAGTAGGCTTTAACAATTTAAATACAGCCCTGCAACCTAGAGACACAGGAATAAGAGGTGAGAAAAGGAACAGAAGAGATGGGAAGGGAGCTGGATTCACTAAACATAATCAGATTGTGTCCGGGAAGGTAAGAGTTAAGGTAACCCAGTGAATTCAGTTAAAGAGAGAGGTTGTAAATGAAGATGGTGGGAAAAGCACAGATTGAATGAGGTAGGCTAGGCCCACTGCCACATGGCAAGCTAGGTGGCACAGATGGCCAGGCCTGGAGTCAGGAAGACTCATCTTCCTGAGTTCAAATCTCGATTCAGACATTTACTAACTGGTAATCCTGGACATATCACTCAACCCTGTCTGCCTCATCCGTAAAATGCCTCATCAAGTTTTCTCATCTGTAAAATGAGAAGGAAATGGCAAACAACTCCAGTATCTTTGCCAAGAAAACCCCAAATAGGATCAGTAAAGATTACTGAAATGACTGAACAAAAAGTCCACTGCCAGTAAGTAGTTAGCATCTCATAACTGGGTCACTCTTAATAACTTCTCAGTTGACACAGATATCCCAGGACATTGAGCCCAAGAACACTGGGAATAGCAATACTTTCAGCCCAGTGCCTTCAGCCATCATTAAGTACGTACTATGTGTCAGGCACTGTTAAACACTTTATAAATATTACCTCATTTAATCCTGGCAAGGAATTTTTATGGAGATACAGCCAGGCAATACTCTTGTAGGTAAAGAAAGTTCTTGCCACCAAAGTCCTTGGGCACTACCAAATGGTTCAGCATCAGAAACTTATAAAATGTTATCAGTGGAAACAACTGTAGAGGCATTAACATCTACTTTGTTGATGTACCCTAAAGATCACGAGACCTTTCTATCTGACTTGCTGCTAAAACCTTCCATATGTGTTGTCTCACCCATTAGAAGACAAGCTCTGAGATCAAGGACTGTCTATTTTTCTATCTGTATGCCCCACACTTAGAACCTAGTAAGCACTTAATAAACGCAAAAATCCCCCCAAAACAGAAATAATAAAAAACTGTCCTTGCCCTCAAAGGAAGTACATTCTAAAGAGGAACAGCTGAACAAATTGTTATATGAATACAAGAGAATATTACTGCATCATAAATGACAAAAGGGATGGTCTCAGAGAAACCTGGGAAGACCTCTATGAACTGATGCAGAGTTAAGTGAAAAGAATCAGGAGAATAAATTTAACAAAAACATTATAAAGAAAATTAGCTCTTACAAAGACTGAAGAACTCTGATCAGTGTAATGGTTAACCATAATGCCAGAGGATATGAGGCATACTACCCATCTCCTGAGAGAGGTGATGGACTAATGGTGTAGAATGAGACATTTGTTTTGTTTGACTATGTATATCACAAGATTTTCCTCCCCACTAGTGGGGGAGGTGGGAGGAAGAAGTTATTAACAGGGTGGTGGTCCCACAAACACATAAAAGAGGGTCACTAAAGTATTTTTAATAGAACAAAATGAATATACAAGAGGGACAGCTTTGAAAATTATATGTTGAGTTTGTTATATACTTTACAAAGCAAGCTATGTGTAACAGATTTGTAAATTTTAGATACAATCCTTTTTCTGTTCTCATTTAAGTTCAAATTTTTTTTTAAAAGAGGAACAGAAGACACAAAAAGGATAGCTGAATAGCATAATATAAGATATATTCATGTGAGGAAATCTAAAACTGGGGAGGAGTGGGTAGAGAATACCTGGATAAAAATCAATGTTGAGAGAAACAATATTGTCACTGGGCCAATTAGACATAGAGGGTAGATGAGGTGCGTTTAGAAAACAGAACACATTCTGGGCAGGGATGCATGAGGTAGTATTGATGGGGAACTTATCCCAGACATCTGCTGGAATTCTTATTCTCTGCTGAAAAAAGACCAGCTAATAAAGTATTTGATTACTTTAATGATAATTTCATTCTTCTCTAAAAGGTAAAGAAAAATACAAAGGGACTACTAGTCTGAACCCACTTTTGGCCAACAAGGAAAAACTGATGGTTGAAAAAGAAATGATGGAACTTTTTGGGAATTCATGAGTTTATTATTAAAGACATGAAGGCATGGCACAATTGACATAGACTTCAGATATGGGAAAATGGATTTCAAAGAATTAAAAAAAAAGAGATGGCAGGATTCCATGGTCAAAAAAAAAATCTGTAAAGGATATAAGCCTATGAAGAATGTGAAGCTCTCAGCAATCAGATTCTAAAGACAAGGAAGTAGTTTGCCTAATGAAACTAATAAGAAACTTCTTAGATTTAGAAAACAAAGAAGTACAGAAGACAGAAGTATAGGAAGGTAATAGAGAATTAATACAAAAGCTAGGTATGATCCAGTAAAAAAAAAAAGTATTAAAAATGCTAAAACTCAGAATAAACTGAATCTGGTAAAAAAAATATATATTTTTTTCCCACAAGTCTTGTAATTTCATCTGTGTGGAGAAGCTCCTGGTAATCTTCTCCCACAGCAGATCAGCATCTTCTCTATAACTTACAGTCTTGGTTAAAAAAAAAATTTAAACTTTTCCATAAGATGAAAAAAATCAAACAATACTGTTGATATATACGAAGGTATAATGAGGTTTTTATTTCCAGCAAATCTTTCCATAAGAGAATGTACACAGCCCAGCTGTGGACTTAGGAAGAGAAATCTGAAGAGCACAGAAAATTCCTGTTCTTATGAGTTTTCTAAAACTATGTAAAGAATTTTTATTTCTGAAAGATAAGATTCTCTGAGAATTCTTTTCATTTCATTCTTACACAAACAATAGTTTCTCTCATTTAAAACTGTGTTCCTTGAAATTTTAAGTCCAAACAGTTAAAAAAAAGAAGTAAACCAAGAACAAGGAATTCTATTGTATTTTGTTACTTTTGTTTATTGAAATACTAACATATAACACCTGGATGTCATTTTTTTTCACATTCCATAGCTAAACAAATACAGAAATATTTTTAAGTTAAACTATAATGCATCACTGTGGATAATTACATCATGTTTCTGAAATCAAAGACTGAAATTCACTTTTCCAATTTTTCCTTTCAGTCCATTATTACTCTGGATGCTCATGATCTTGCTCTGGAATTAACCACAGGATATCCTCAGTTCAACCACAGCACACATTCTAAAACTCACTAAACAGAATAAGGAAACACAACAAACCCATACTTTTCAGCAAAGTGCTAAAAAAAAGGAGGGGGGGCTATTTGGTCATATTCTGTCATTACCACATCATTCTTGGTTTCTATTTCTGTAAATAAAGGTTTTAGACTTTCCAACATCCAGTCTGTATGACTGGTTTATTTTCTTGAAATACCAAGATGTTAGGAATAGCCACAGTGTTGAAGCTGGTAGATTGCTGGCTTAGAAGCATCCAGTGCCCAAAAATGTATTATTGATGTGGTGAAAAATGCATTGCTGTGTGATCCTCTGATGTTTCTTAGACTCCATTTTGTAACCTGGGTCCAATTTATAACTGACTTCTGATGCAGTTTTAATTTGCTGTGAAAAGTTACTAGTTGGCTTCCTGAACCACAACTCTTTTTTCCCTGTGTATCCAATAAGAGACCATCTCCTACTCTGCTTCTTGGTGTAAGGCCATTCACTGTTGATATGGCAAGTTCTTAATATGTACTTGGAGACATGCCCTACCATTGTGCTGTTTGGTGGTAGGGGTGGCAGGGAAGGGCAACATTCTTGAAGAACTCTATAAAAACTCCACTCAAACCCCTAGACAGTGAAACAATCACTGCCAATCCCTTGAATGAATGGTGGTCTCCCACTCTCAGCTAATGCCCAGACATCAGCTTTTCTATCCAACAGGGTATTACCTAAGTCCCTGAGTGGGACCTCTCCTTCTGCCCCCTGGATTATTTTTCTTCTCTCCTCTTCCCTATTCCTCCCTATAAGTTTCAGTGCTTGTGCTGTTGGCTTCTGGACCTCGTTCACATTCACCACAGGCCTCTGGCAGTGGTAAGTGTCAATGCACAGCTAACAGAGTTTCCTGTAATGACTCTTAGAATTGTCCTTTCCAGTAAGAATCCAACCAAACCACTACTACCTCTATTTAGTTTAAGAGCTACTGACTAAAGCTGAGACTAAGTTTTCTGGCAGCCATATCTTCATGGACAGGATGGGACAGATAGCCTCACCTGCCAACCTCTGTCTTCTACAGAGAAGGAAAAGAGTAGATCACTGCACCTCTAGCTTCAGTGGTAGGGAAAGCCTCTTCCTCTTGCATCCATAAATCACTGATTAGGGCTTGAATTAGGACTCTTGTCAGCTGCATCTTCACAGGCAAGACTTCCTGCCTTCACCAAAGAGAACAATGACTGAGGACCTGTATCTTGTGCCTCAGTAGCAAAGAATTCCCCTCCTATCTTGTCCCATGAGCCACTGACCAGGGAGAAGAACAAGACTCTTGAATCCAATGCCTGTGCCCAGGAGAAAGGAGC